TGACTGTTTGAAATCAGTTCAGAAATAAAACGCATCCTGTAAGACGTAATATTGAGACGCAGAGACGAGTGTAGTCGGTTCCGTGGTGCGTCGTGATGTTGATTCTTATTTTTAATGAGCTTTTGTCAACAGCAGAATCTGTGACTGTGCAGCGTCTTAAATCTCGTTTTATACGGCTCTCGCCAAGAAGAGGAGGTTATGCGATACGTTGAGGGTGTTTGAGCCGAACAGGTAGGAGGCGTCATACCGCGTCCCGTATTAGTATTAGTATAGTAATCAGATGCGGGTTTTGTACCAAATAACGTGCAGCGAGAAGGTGGGAACGAACCTAACCTAACCTACTTAGTTTTGGTTTGGAAATGTAAAAATGTACAGATGTAACGTGCTTAAAATAAGACCCGAATAATATGTATCGCAAAGAACGATTGGTTTGTGCAGAGTCGGACTGCTTGAAGCGTGCATTGTTCGTAATGCGGTCATGATTCCACTTTCGTTTCTTCGTATAGCTGTTGGGCACTTTTAAATGGCCATGTCTTAGTATGGAACCCGTCCGGGATCACTAAATATGTCCATGCCCGGTCGGAGATAATTTCCATATGCTCGTACCGTTAAAAAGTTTGATCGCCCCACCTGATGTTGCATTTGCTTGCAGTATCTTAGTGGGAGAGAAAGGTCGTAGGAGAAACAAGTTTCTGGGGCGCCCACTCGAAAGCGTTTCCACCGACGCCGATGTGGCCCACCAGACACAGCCACAGGTCGATGTCGAGAAAACTGTGGCGCTGGACATCTGATCTGATGTGGCTGTCTGGCGTGTTCCGACTCAGAATTATTTCTGAAAGTGCGAATATGCTGGGAATTTTATAGGGTGGGGAGTCTTGGCTCATTGCAATGTCTGCATGTACACAGAACAACACCACATCCAAAAAAAATCGCTGGCATACGTAAGTCTCGCTTCGATAAATGTAAGAATGGTTTTGTCACGGCAGTCCTCTGATAAAGTATTAAAATTTTTGTGTCCGTGTAGATTTAAGACGTGTTCAGAAACGTAGCTGCGAACGTTGTTCCGAGTTGCCTGGCATGTTGTTATGGAAGGAGTTCCCCGCCTTTTAGGACCTGAGTGCACATTATCCGTATTTTTATCGAGCCGCGGGCTGGTGGTTTATGAAAGACTGCAATTTAATTACATTCCTGACAGTTTGTTAATTCGCTGTTGCATGCACGTTATTACTCAGTAGCGTTTTGTGAGAATATCAGTCATCGGTGTGTGATGTGACAACTGCCTTTGGTGGATAATCTTCGTCAGCTTTTTTTGTCGATTCGCACGCATTCCTCGAGGCGTTCTTCAGTAAGATTCTTGTTCTGTTTGTTTGTGGTAAATTTAACGACGCCGTCAGTCGCTCAGACAGTACGGCGTCGAATTGAGGGCATGCGGAAAGAACCGATTCTGACCTGATGTAAATTTGTTAATGGGGGGCTGAGTAAAACCACGAAATACCTCAGTCAGCCGAGATTTTAACCGGGGATGTCCGGAATACGACGACGTTCGGTTATCTTGCATCTTCATGAAAGCGAAGTTGCTCAAAGCCAGTTTTGATAGCGTTTAACAACGTATCATCATGCAGTGGTGCACAGAACAATTCGGAGGGCCGCTGGTTCAGATGTGCGTCGCGGTGAGAGCAGCAGAGCCGGAGAGCGTGTCTTCTGCTTTGTCTTGTGATTGCACCGGCCGTGTAGTGGACTAATGACCCCGTGCAAGGAGGAGTCTGTCCTCCTGGCCCGGAGGTTGGTCAGACAAATACGTCATTCGTCTGGGGGGGGGGGGGGGGGGGAGCTTGTATACTCATTTAAAATTGTTCACTAACGACTTACGTATTTACGCACTCCTGCACTTGGTCAGTCCAAAAGTGGTGAAGAGTACAGATTAAAAATATAGTCAGCTGGAAACATGGCGAGAGTACGAAACTTTTAAGATGTATCTGGCGAATTTAGCGTAATTAGAATGTGTTCGGAAATAGTAAGGTCGTGTAAATGTAATCTTCTTGGAAAGTCTGAAGAGAAGACCCGGGCGTAGATGGATGGGTAATATTGCAATGAATATTAAAGGAATTGGAGGGTCGGGGGGACTGGATTCGCCGCCTCGGGATAGCGACCGGATGTTGCAAAGACGACGGCGAATTGTTTGACGAACATCTGCTGCGAGGAGTCGGTCGCGTCCATTTGCAAGAAATGAAAGTAAGATTCGGTGGCTTGAGCGTCTGCTCACATCCTAACTAAATCCGAAAGTTGATAAGGCGTCGTCTCCTCTCGGAGTGAAGGCTGTTATGAACTGAAACTTGTTGAGGATTTCATGAAGCATTGCGAGAGAACGTTCTGCTTTTCCAGGACGTAAGAGGAAGGAGGTCCTTTGGAAAGTGCCGCCGTAGGAGGCCAGTTGTCCAAACCGCGTTCTAAAAGAGAATTTGCGCGGGCCTCATGTAGTGAAGACGGCTCGATTAAATCGTGCATTGTTTCATTTGTGTTTTATGTATAGTTATTTGGCAGAATGCATTTGAACAGAAGCCAAGCAGTAAGGAGCAAAGAGGAAAACCTAATTTTTCGGAGAGCCTCTTTTGTTAGGACTAGGGGTTGTCGGCCGAACAAGAGGACCGCCCATTGTCGGCTGTGTGAGGCTGATTAATAAAGGCAGATTGTCCCAGAAGAGGAAGGCGCAGATGTGTGTCATTGCGTCTTTGTTTTGTTTTTTTCCGACGTTTCTAAAACCCGTATTTGTACAAAGAAGTCTTTCTCTTTTACGTTTCATTGCAAATTCTATGCCTGTTTATAGTTTGAAATTTCTAATTGCCTCGAGCAGGGGAACTGTCTAATAGCTTGTAGGGCCTGCGTAATTAATATAAAAGTAGAACGCCTCGTTCTCTTGCCAGGTAACCCGAGTTTTACGACCGGCCGATCGATACAGACAGCTCACAAGTTTCGGTGTTCAATAAATTGGGGCGTCGGTCGCGAGTTTTTGATTTTGTTCTCAGGACGCCTCTTCTGCTCGTCAGTGTCGAATGCGTGTGTTTTTTTAGCAGGTTTTGAGGTCGGCGCTCTGTTAATTTATTACGTGATGGCTTTAGCGGGCTTTCGACTCTTTTTTTTCCTCGTGTGAAAGAGGAATTGCGAATCCATTCCCGGAGAGAGTTAATGGTTCCAAGTAATAGTCTGGCGTTGAAGTCGATCGTTGTCGTTCACCTGCGCATGGTCCTAAGAGTCGCGTTATTTCTAGGTCAGCCGGTTGCCTTTTGTGTAATTATTGCTTGTATTTTTTTTAAGTTCTTTGACGCTGTAAAAGCATGGGACATACATGGAAGTGGTCGTGATATTTTTCTTTAAGGAAACACGGAACAAGATTCCTCAAACTTGGTTTTTTAACGCACTGACATAACCCCATGAAGCAGTCTTTCTTGAGAAGATGATAGTCGCTCAGCTAGTTTTTTTATGGAATCTGAACAGTGTCCACAACAGCTCACAATGCGTCCTTCTCCCTGAGCCAGAGGAATCCAATCCAACCGACACCGCACCCTTTCGTTTCGATGCAGAACAACAATTGCCTTCAGAATTTTCGACCGAAGCCTTGTACAGATTTGTCGTCTCCCTTGCGTGCTACATGCCTCGTTCATCCCGCCCGACCGTCTTCGCCCACGTACGGAACAGTTTTTAAATGTCTTCCTGGTTTGATACAGTGAAAATTTTGCTCAGATCAGAAAGTTCCCGACCATGCATATTGACAGAACTTTGCTAGAATGGAAATCTTGATTCAACAAATATCTTGTTAATTATGTTTCAAGATGAGGTAACAGGACTTTATTACAGACGCAAATAGAATGCAATGATGCTTTGCGGTTTTGTAAATTTAAATTCAAATTTAAGCATTTATAACATTTTTTCCTCCTATTGCTCATTTAAATCAGTTCTTTGCCCATACTGTGTTCTAACGAAGTCGTGGATGGGGTTGGTCGGTGCGTTGATAAGTCTGTTCACGATTAGCCTCTAGGATAACACATGGCATAGTCGTTTTGTCCTCCGTCCCTGGCTGTTGGCTTTGTCTTGATGCTGTGTGAGATCTGAGATTTTCACGGCGGTGAAGACATCGATGTTGTCTTCTGCATTGTAGCGCCGTGTGGACTTACAGGTAGATACCAGCGTTTCGGAGAAACTTGCTGTCCGAAGATGGCTGTCTTGTGGGCTGTATTTTAGGAATAGGTTGTGATCTGTTTTGGGGCACCATATCAGCATAGAGGGGCCGAGGAAGACAATGCATAGACCATCTCCAGGCTGAGAATCGAACCCGAGACCTCCCAACTACGAAGCAGGAGTCTTGATCTTTGGCTACTGGCTTCTCAGAAGATGCTGCTAGCACCGTTCATTTGTGGTTCAGGTCACTGCACCCTTGGAAGCGTAAGGCGGTCAAGCGTGTCGTGACTTGCTGGCACGTTCACGCACGCGTTCGCATGTGAAGTCGGAGTTCGCTTAGTCCGATTGCTTCGGCTGGGCGATACGTACCATCACTTCCTCCTGTCCTTTTCAACGGAAGTTCTGTCGTTCCTTGACCCCGTTACGATTTTTACTAAAATTAGTCAAATGGTGAGGATGCTGCCCCAGAGCACGTAAATCGTTGTACTTTTTAATTCGCCGTTCTAGACTATCCTACGGACGGTGTTCAGAATTTGTGCTGCCGAAACGTCGTGTCGGGAGCTCCTTGCGTTTAATGTACTACTAGATTTCCAGAGTCTCCGAAAAACACGCGTTTTCCTATACAGAACCGGCGACATTTGCCAGCCTCTCGGAGTGCTACATGGCGCGTCAGTGGAATCGCTGAAGTAGTACCGTCGAAGCCTGCGGTGGAGAAGTGCGTCGTTCCGTGAGCACCATGCGACTGATCGGATAAGTGGCTGAACCCTCTCCTCATCTGATGCTCAGTGCGGGGAGGGCTGTTCGCGAGAGGTGCAGCGCAGGATGTGGTTTCGTGTTTGAGTTGGTGGTTGTGTGCTGAAGTGCCTTCTGCACGGAACACTTTTTAATACAGAAATCTGACTTATTTATAAAGCAATTTAATCTGTACGTGCAATGCCATCAGAAGCTAAATAGTTTGTTCGTATGGTGCAAGACGACTGATGGCCGACCATTGAGTTGCCTTATTTGGTGACGTCTTTGTCCGTCGATCACGTAAGTACAAGCGCGGTTTATTCTTGTGCTCCTTATTCTTTGTCTTGTTCCGGAAACTTAATTAATCGGATTAATCGAAGCCGTGAACGTCAGGGAAGTGATGGAGGCATCCGGGACCTCTTAAACGTCTGCAACCCACAAGACAGCCATCTGCTTCTTAATTCCGTCCGAGTACTGTGATAATAGCTTTTATGTAAGTCTTAGTCGTTCCCTCGAACTGTAATTAATCATAGATCACTTGTGAGAGTCGGCCATCTCAGGCCAGAAGAGATCGCGTCCTCAAACACTTGTAAGATCATGGCGTACCGCTGTTTGCATATCGTTCCGATAGAATTGTTTTCTGAAATTTGAATTCGAACAAATAGGAGCTCATCTTCGTGCCATTGATATAATATTGTTTTATACATCAATATTTAGCAGACAGTTTAATGAGATGCATCATTTTTCGAGCTGGGATTTTTGGCCTGTAAATACGAGCCAAAGTCCCTGCAGATTGTGGCGTTGCGTTGGAGTCGTCTTAAGTAGTTCACACCCAATCAGCTGAGTAACACGTCTGTCGTCTTAACGTTCCGTTATTGTATTCCGTCCGAGGTAACGTACCCTGGAGAACTAACTGTAAACTAGAAAGCAAGCGGCCATTCTCCGATGTTTGACAGGTGACACTAATCATCGACGTTTCGGAAGTATGGCCGATGCTGTCTGGTATTATGCGACTCTAGCCTTTCTACGTAATTATGCCGTTAGTATCTGATGGAAATGAATTTTTGTACATTTTGTAATTGTATGTCTCAGTAAAACCTTCTGAGTCATACTTATAATTTAAAACAGAATAATGTTGTTATCTTGTAATAACTATGCACTTTTAATATTATATTTTCTTTGCGACTCCGAGGAAACTCTTCCCCCGAGTTTTCTACTGGTGATGTGTTGTTTGATCCTCCCATTCAGCGCTCAGTTTAATGTTCCTTAAAATATTAGGACAAGAGGGCCGGTGGCGGAAGTTGGCCCCGTTCGGTGTCCTGCTTAGCCAGGAACGTTTTATATCAGATTTTGCAGTGTTCATTTTCAGTCTTTTGTTTCTAGAAGTGACAGCGCGATAAGGAGCTTATATCTTATCTGTCTCGTACCCACCGAAATCATGTGCGTTCCAGAAATAAAGACACGTGCTTGTCTGATAATAGCTAGAACGACGATTATGATCCTTGGAAGGGAAATGATGGGCTTCCGGCCGGGAGTGTGCAAGGAAGTTGACGAGCCTTGTTGCTCAGATCATCATCATCGGGGCCCATGGAAGGCGGGAAATGTTGGCGGTGCTGTACCAACTGTAGTCCGCGACTGTAATCTTGAGACTTGCAAGGAATGCAGGAAGTCCGAAGCGTTAAAGGCAGACGCTATCTTTCCTCCTTCACCCTGCAAGTCTCAAGATTACAGTCGCGTACTGTACCTAATATGCAATTCGGACTGTAAAGTCAGTCACTTGACAAACCTGCTTTTGTAGCCATGTAACAGGTCAGTTCGAATTTCTTCTGAATAGGCAACTGGTGATTATAAAATCCAGACTTGCGACTAAGTGGGACAGAAACGTCATTTATATGCAAACTTGTATTTATCCAACGGGAAACTAGAATGAGCCCGGATAGCTCAGTACACTACAGCACAGTACAACAGTCTTGTGCTGTTAACTGGACGACCAGGGTTCTGTTCCCGGCATGGGGAAGGATTTCTCTCCCTGCCATCGGGTGCAGACCAACTCTGGGCTCACGCAGCCTCCTTTCCAGTCGTTGCTGGTGTAAAGCAGTCGGAGAATGAAGCCGACGCCTTCTGGTGCTGAAGTAAAGACCGAGCTTCTTTGCCTCCACCTTACGCCACCTACCACACGTCTGACATTAAAATCGTATGGACCCCGTTGCCTGGAAGTCCTCGTCCCACGTCACGTCGCACCTGAAGGACACTCGGTCCTTCCCACTCGCTTGACAGCACGAATCTGCTTGTAGGCCGCCCCGTGAGCGATGTTGCAATTTCTTTTCCCAGCTGAATGGCGTAACTGAAGTGGCAGGTAATTTGTATTTCGTGGCTCACACTTGGGCCCCCTTCGAGGGCAAATGACGTTCATGCGCGGGGCGCGAAATCTTCAGGATTCTGAATAATGATTACAGACCCTCTAAGAAGAACCAGCCGCTTTAAGCTGTGGACGGCTTTTAAGTTCGACAAACAAAACGATTTGAAGTACAAACTTGCGTGTTTCTTTGCTGCCATAATTGTTGGACTTTGTTGTGAAAATGCGATCTTGTATGTTCTTGAATTTGTTAGGCCAGAGAGTTCCGACACTTCGTGATGCGTAGTGCCCGCCATGTACACGATTAACTTCATGGTCCCACCCTCACGTCTACGCAAAAAGTCTTACAATTTCTATCTTCCTTCGAATTTCATCGACCAAAATTTTACATGCATTACTGATTTCTCTGGTATATACAACACGACTTGCCCACCGCATTAATTTTTTATATTCAAGACGCTAAATATATTTAAATTAAGAATGTTGATGTGCGTCACTGAGATGATTTATTACGTTGAGCATAACAAATGTTTAGGGCTATGGCGTAGCTCAGGTGGTTAGACATTGCCTTTTAACAGCGGATAACCAAATAAATCCCGGGTGACCGTTGGCGACGTTCGAGGTGGCACTTGGCAGCTGTCGGAGGAATGTTAATTCAGTGTACAGCAAACTATTAAGCAAAACTGTGAATTGTCGAAAGGATTTCAATAGCCAACTCCTTGAGAAGCTAGTCGTCGCCCATCTAGTCAAGAAATTCCCCTGCCTTTATGGAAGTCGGAGGCTTTTTACCGTTTTCACCAGAGGCCACCACCGGTCCCTATTATGAGCCAGATGAATCCACTCCACACCCTTCGCTTCTCCTTTTCCTTAGGATGTATTTTAATATTATCCTCTCCAAGTGGTCTTCCTTTCGGGTTTACGACCAAAGGTACGCGTTTTCTCGTCTCCGTGCGTCCAGAGGTCCCTTACAACAGAGTTTTTTAATATGTACTCTCGTTTTGTTTTGAATCTGTCGTGTTTATATGCAAGCAGGGGCAGAGTCACATATTGCTGTAACGTAAGCCATAAACTACATAACTCTCCACAGCTGCTAATTCTGTTCGTGGCAGCTTCTAATCATAGCCCCGTGGCTCCAGAAATAGCTTCTTGGCT